CGCGTCTCCCCCCTCAGGGAGGTGGCGGCCATTTTCCGCCCTCAGAGCAGTAGCCGAGGCGACGGGACCTTCTCCTTGTCGCCATCGCGCCCTTCATCACGTTTATACCCCGAGAATGGCGAAACGCCGTGTCATTCCCCACCCTCTTTGACCCCTCAGTGAACAAATAGAGCTGCACAACTCCAGTTTGGTTTTTTTTTTTTTAAAAAAAGAAAAAAAGATTTATTTCTGTTTGTTTTGGTTTTTTTTACATCCGCCAAGTTGCACAAGACTATGAACACAAGAACAGTCACTGAATGTACAACAAACATACACAATTAAATAAGAGAAGGGGCAGAGCAAAACAGCCCGAGCAGTCCAAGAGGTGCAAAGTCAGGGTGCTTTCCTTTTTTTTTTTTCTTTTTTTTTTTCTTTTTTTTTTCTTTTTTTCCCTCTTTTTACAAGGAAAATACAAAAATCAAACCCAAAATGCCTGCAAGGAACAGTGTTACCCCTCGGAGGAGCCCGCAGCGATTCTTATCTTCAAGCAAAACGACTCCAGAGTTGACAGGACATCTTTGGGTTGCTCTGGTTTAAAAATAATAATAATAATAAATCCTCTACCTTCTGCACTGCAGAAATAGGGGTGAAAAAAAAAAAAATCCATGCAAACTTGTCTTTTTTTGTTGTTGTTGTTGTCTTTCTGTTGTCATCTGTAGTTCCTTGGGAAGGAAAATTCATGAGACTTCCTTTTCCAGGGATGCTTCTCTCCCAACGAGGCATTAATGAAACTTGGGACGCTGTGAATCACTTAACTTGGGTACTGAGTACGCTGCTGTTGCTGTGGGACAGAGTAAAAACTTTGATAAGGAAGATTTGAGTTCAAAAAGGCTGTTTATAAAATGGTTTTCTGAAACACCTCGTAGTTTTCAGCTTTAAATAACTGGTACAAGTGTCCTCAGTCTGGATCCTTCCCATCAAAAGTGAAGAGAGCAAAATAGTTTTTAAACCCCCGCACCTACAGCATCATTAAGGGGGAAAAAGTTTGATGTTCACGGATAAAGACTACAGACCTTTTAAGACTTTAAAATTCCAAGTCTTCTCTTTTCCTATTGCTCATACCATTTTTTGACTCGTTATTAAATTATCTAGCAGCCTGAAGCCAGCCAAGACAAAAAAAATCTCTTTTCTCCCACACAAACACCATCTCAACACCTTGTGTCATAAATTCAGAAGCCAGCACACTGCTCAAGTCGATGAGCTCCCAAATCCACTGAATTCAAAGGTGTTCATCACTGCACTTGACTAAACTCTGGTCCTCATTAACTTTACCAATCTCGTTAATGCCCCAGTACAGTGGTACAGCAAGAGAAGCTCAATCCCAGGTACAAATTAACCCACTTGATGGCAAGTTACTTCAAAGCTACCTCAACACAGTTCTGAGCTGGCCAGTATTTCAAATCTGATTTATTTTACCACACACAGTCACTATTTCCACACTGTATTAACAGATATGTTAATTACCAAAGCAATACCTGCTACAAGGCTTTGCCCACGAGCCACCAGACTTTCTCTTGTCCATTCTGAGTGTGGAGTTCACGTCCAAGAGCTTTAACACCATGAGGCCTGATACCACAACCTGTAAACATCTGTAGAGTTCACTCACATGGGTAATAGTCATCTAAATCCATGGGAATACTTATGGAAAGAGTCTCATTTTCACACTCAGTGCAGCACAAGAGAAAATAAATTAAAAAAAAAATCAAAACCCCTCTCAGTTCTTTAGTCTCAAGGGCCATTAAGACAAAACATCCTTCTTTGCTTTCGTTTTATAAATAAATGTATCATCCTGTTATGCACAGACATTCTGGGATGAGTTTTCAGGCAGTGAATGGAGGTTTAGACATACACAGTGTATCAGGAGTCAGTGGAATTGTAATCATATTCTTGCAAATACCAGAATGCATTAAATAACCAACCAATAAGACCCATGAAGGAGAATTATGTAAGAAAAAAAAGCCCCAAAAAAACCAACAACCACTGCCTTTAAAAGATAAACCTTCGCTTTCCCTTTCTCCTGGTCCCTAAATGAAACAAATTCTGTACATAGACCAGGTCTACCAAAGCAGGCAACCCTCACCAACAGCTTTCTGTGTCCCATAAATAGTGGTCCACTAGCATGTTTCTTGTTTCCTGAGTCCAGGGCTAGTCATTTTATGGAACTGTCCAAAGGAATTGCAGTGCATTTTTAACAGGGTTATTTGGAAAAAAAAAAATCAGAGTAACCAACTCTCCATTCAGTCTTCAAGGGGAAAAAAAAAATTAAAAAAATTAATGTCCACTACGAGGTGGCAACAGAGACAATTACCCTGTGTCTTCAGAGAGGTGTGCTCCTCTACCCTTATTTTCTCCTGGCACAACTACCTTTAGGTCACAACAGAAGCTGCTGTGCAAGCTCAGCTGAGCCTTTTTTTGTTTACAAGCAAAAAAAAGGCTATTTTCCCTGTAAATGCTGAAGGGGAAAAAGAGGTAAGAGTGGCTCTGTACTACCCTGATGTGCTACTATGGTTTGGATCAGTTTGCTCCACACAACACAGGTTTTAAGACTGCACTTTTCCTTCTTTCTCTAACTGCTTGGTAAAATAGGGCAGAGCAGACAACATGTAAACAGTTCTCAAGGGTTGGAAAAAATAATAATTTAATAAGACTGCTTCGGCACATCTTCACAGCTTCATTGTGAAATCCATCACCGCGCACGTACGCGAGGAGCCACCGCTGTGCTGCTGCTGCTGCTGCTCTTTTTCTCCAGGCAGTCTGCTCGTGTTGAGCTGGAATACTCCCTTTCACCTTGGCTGCTGAAACAAAAGACACGGGAAGCAGTTCTGCCATACTCTGCAATTTACATGATGTCCTCCTGCTTAACGGCTCCTATTAAAAATATACATACAACATAACCTGCCAGGTAGGCAAGGTTTTTCCCCCATACAATTGAAATAAAAAGTTATTTACTGGAGACACTTCCAAAAAGGAAAAAGAAGAGTCAGCAGACATGCCAAAAATAAAGTCCAGAGCAAGCAGAGGTTTCACTTCTCCTCTTGTCCTTTTTGTTAAAAGCTGCATAAAACGGCATCCCAGAAGGATTTTGAGGGTACTTCTTTGTGGTCACAGGGGACTTAAACCCTCTTAAAGCATTAACAAGAGCTCCAAGATTTTTAGTTGAAGTTAAGTGAGCATATACTTTAAAACATACTGAACTTCCAGGACACCCCATATATCTGGGCTTTCAGGGGAGGTGACAAGTACAAGCAAGTGACACCGTAAAGCTTCTTCATTCGTGTTCTGCTGAGAAAGTTCTTGGTTTAGCGATGTGCACTTCGCTGCCGCCGTTGCCGTTGGTGGTTGTAGTGATTATGTACTGGGTGGTTTGCTGCTGACTGCTTGTTGGTGATTCCAAGGTATCCGTGTGGGGTGGTGGCTGGGAAACACCGACCTGCACCTCGCTGGAGAGCGAAGAGTTTTGTTTGACATCCAGGTCAGGCTGACCTTCGGATATCACATAGTGAGTCTGCATGGAGAATATACAAAAAAATAAGTAGTAATTGTTGCATTTTCTGTAACTTTTCTGTTCTAATAGTCTGTAACTTTCCTGTTGCTGTGCTGGAAGGCATTTTGGTAGGAACAAGGAATTTTGAAGTTAAGTTTATTTCATTTAAATGAATTTGAGAGCAACATAACCCTTGCCCTTTGTTTTGAAGTACGTTGGACTACTTTGCATTTGGTTAGCTTACAAATGGTTAAACTACTGACACAATTAACTCATCACTACAAATAGCAATTTTTAATACAACTTTTTAATACAACTCTTCTGAAAGTTTTTCAGTGTCCAATATCAAGGCAGTACAACAGCCTGCCTCCTTCTGCTGGACTGCTTACTAGGTAAGACAGCAATAACTCTTTCTTATTTTGAATCCTATGGATAACAAAGTTATCATAATGTTTCCAGAAACTGTTCTGAAATTTGGTTTAATGGATACAGCTTAGTCATTAACATTTTTAAGACTAACTCACACTACTAAATCATACCTTCTCCTGCAAATGTGACTGAGTGAACACTTTAAACCTGAAGGAGTGATACATACAGGGCCAGACAGCATGGACCTTGTAAATAGTCAGGTGTAGAAAACTGTTTGTAATCACCACATAAAGGAATATGATGCAACTTCATTTAAAAAATAAAAATATCTTCTTGAAGATAATGAGCTTATTTCCTGTATTTTGTAACCTAAAGTGTACAACATCACTAGGTTTGAACAGTAGCACTTTTCTCCTTAGCTTATGACACAACATATATAATTTCTTAACTGTTCTGCTTATAGATTCTGCCCAACTGGAAACTCATTACAATTGTTACAGAAAGCCCATGCCCTTTTGGACTATCCAGTCCTCTTTAGGTACACAATTATTCTCTACTCTCTGTGCCCCAGTCATCACT